ATATGATTGTAGTGTGAATATAATTATTTCTATAAAAAGTTTGATACTCATTTTTCCCAAAATTTATTTTTCTCTCTTCTTTTCAACCACATATTCTTCAATAAAATAATAATACACGTAAAACTAAAACTTTTTTCTATTTCTTAACCACACAATTTTCATATATATATATATATGATTGTAGTGTGAATATAATTATTTCTATAAAAAGTTTGATACTCATTTTTCCCAAAATTTATTTTTCTCTCTTCTTTTCAACCACATATTCTTCAATAAAATAATAATACACGCAAAACTAAAACTTTTTTCTATTTCTTAACTACACAATTTTCATCAATCAACTATTTCAAAATGCATTCTCACTTTGAAAATGGGAAACAAACAGGCTCATATTTTATATATTTACATTTTATATACTACATTTTGCATAATAGTTACAGAAAACGTTATTTGCTGAAACTTTACAAATATGCTATTGTAGCAACAAACAAACAAAAATATACTTAGGTGTGTTTGTCACCCATTATTTAGGAAGAATGTATTATGGAATAGTGATTGATACTGAAATGTGTGGTTAAAAAAGAAAAAAAAAATTTATTTACGTGTAATATTATTTTAATGAAGAATGTATAGTTGAAAATAAGTACTGTAGAAAAAAATAATGGGAAAGAATGGAAGAAAATTGATGACAAACAAGAGCTTAATTGAGTTAACGAATCATAAACTATATATTACATTATATAAATTTTTTGCCTATTATTCTCTAATTATTGATTTTTTATGAAATATTTTTTCTTTAAATATATAATTTTTTTTGCATAAAATTTATTATCTCCTTTTCCTAAACTCTAACATCAAATCAATAAAAAATATATTTAATAATTTAATAAAATGTCGAAAAAGTATTAAAATAATTCATTTCAATCTTTAAACATTGCAAAAGTAAATAAATTTTTTTATTGTTATACTATTTAAGAAAATAAAAGTCAATTTATTGTTCATTTTAAGTTGGGAAAAATTTGCAACTTAAAAAGTTGTTAAGAATGCACGTATATTTTGTTGGTATCTATTGCGTATGAATTTTTCTCCTCTTCTTCGAGAAAGTTTCATAAAAAGAGAAGAATTTGTAAAGCAATTAAGAAAAATAATTAGCCCCCATTTGATGCATATTAAAACGAGTTTTTGGGAAGAAAAAAAAAGAGTTTTGGAATAATTATTTTTTGAAAAATGCGTGATTAAAGAGTAGAAAAAAATCATGAATTTACGTGTAAATATTTTATTATGATAATGTGTGGTTGAAAATAAGTTTAAAAAAATAGAGCTTTTGGAGAAGGTAGACAAACGGAGGCTTGAAAAAATGAAAGAGGCATATGTATATGACTCAGTGAGAAACTCTACTGAATGTTAATTTATAAAGAGATAGATGAATGAGGGGAAAAAAAATCAGATGAAATTGCAATTAATTTTTTTGAGAATAAAAAATTGTTAAATAAATTAATATGAAAAGCATTACAAAATATATAATTGTTTTGACTTTCTTTCAATCTTTTGCACTTTTCAGATTCAACTTTTTGATGTTTTGTCTATGTTGACTTTGAAGGATCTAACTTTTAGTCAATCACATCAATTCCAACTGGTTCAACCTTAAAGTGAAGCAGAATCCTATGCTTCTTGGATAACGTCCTCTCCATTATTTGGTTCTTTTGATTTATTATTATTATTATTATTATTTTATTTATTTATTTTGGCAGATTTCTCCTATTTAAATAAAAAAAAATAAATCCACATATATGATCAATCCAGGTTTTATTCTGGTTTTTTTATACTCGATTTTTAGACTTTTAACTGAACCCGTTCTTAATTTTTCCAGCCGAACGTAGAAGACAAAGCGGATTTTCCATATCCATATTTTCTATGAGAGGACTTTGAACCAAATGTACAAAACAATTCTCTAATTCTTAAAACTTCACTAATTACAGAGTCAAAACCATTCTAGTTCACAATCTCTCTACTGAAAACTGATGTATTCAGCTAAATCTTGTCTACATTACCAGAAGGACCGCCAAGCATGACACAATCAGACAAAAGAACGACTAGTAATTCCTCTAGGACCATTCCAAAACTCAAATCTTTTCAGCTAATGTGCTATTTGCATCATAACTTCATTCCAGATTCACAGAAACACGAAGTTGAGTACCCAACAAATTCACAAGACCAGACGAGGTCTAGTTATGAAATGAGAGTATTTTTCAACTAGATTCCATCAAAAACTGTCGTGGATCAATCTTCGAACTGTTTCTTGGAGTTATCCTCACTGTCCGAGGATGCTTTCGATTGTATTATAATCCGTACTCCCGAAGCAAGCCTGTTACAAAAAAAGTGAAAAAGATTTCAGCCCACATGAAAAAGGACAGCATTAAGCAGTGTATTTGAGTGCCTGTGGTAAGAGTGAATTGGCAGGAACTTAACTTTCTTCGATTTTGATCACTTTTTCCTTCTCGTCTCTGAAAGAATCTACTTTCTTCGACTGGCTTTTTTCAAAGAAAGGCTCTTCAATTTTCTTGCTTCCGACATTGGCCGTGCCAGCTGTAATGTTTCTTGAACTATCCACTCGATCAGATGAGATTCGAGGCCCCTCAGAGAGAGGGGATCGCATTGATTCACATCTTGGCTGCTTACTCAATGTAGCCTTGAAGGACCTTGGAATGCACTTTGAATGCATGGAACTCGCTTCTTCCTTGTCTTCAACTGAATCAAACAGTTTTTCCGTTCTGCATTTCCAAATATTTCTTCTATTTCATTATAACAGTTTACAGAGGAAGAACAATAAGTGCTGAATCACTTAGTCTAAAAGCTTAAACAGTTAAAGAGGGAGCAACTTCTTTATTCAAAATACGTCTTCAAAACTAGCTAGACCACTATTATACAATGGTACACATGTATATTTGACTGACATATAAGCAGATAACAAACTAACCTATTTACATTGTAAGAAGAAGATCGTTTTAGAGTAGTGACTCCTTCCTTGGGCACACATGTCTCGACCAAACTCCCACTGAAATATTCCTTGTCTTCCAACTTCAGACCCATCAGCCTCGGATTCTCAGAAAGACAATCCAGCTCTCCCAGCATCACTGATGTCGAAAACAATGGAGATGGAAATTTGGAATGTGAAAAGCTAGGCTTGTAGGTAGGGATTACACCAAAACTGTGATCCTTCACTGCTATTGACCCACAAGATATCAATTGCATTAGCATATTTGAAGCCTTGAATTTTGTGTTTGATGGACTACGAAATTCCTCCTCTTCAACTATTCTGAAGCTATTGAGCTTACTGGCATCGGCTCTGATGAGAGATTCCAAGGTGTCAGTCCTACCACTCGCAGAAGATGCACTAGATGTAGACGGAGGTGGCGAAACTAAATCCCTGCAGATCTCCGAACTTTCCTTTACTCGAGGAACCTGGTTTTGACAAGGCTCGTTTCTCTCAAGCTCTAGTGATCCGTCGTCAGTAGAAACACCTCTCATGCAAGTCTCTTGAGTTTTAACAGCTGTGCCAGCATTTTCGTCGGTCTGAGTGGAGGCATCAGTTAGACCATTGCTCTGGTAAACCTTATAATCTGTCAAGCTTAAAGAAGCATTCGAAGAGGAAGTTTTCCCGACACTGGACTCTGGAGACACAGCCAACGAACGTGGACGCTGAACTGGAGGAGACAGCTCATCATCCTGAGAACTCTTCGTAGTTCTACCATTCAAGCCGTAGGAAGATGAAGTTTCATCTTGGCTTCTGGAAGATGGTGGTTCTGGTAATGCTTTTAATTTCTGTAATGCAACATTTCCAGCTGGACTAAATCGACCTAAAAATGCAAAATGTTCAGTTTCAAGAACTGGGATTTTGCAAGATACATTATAATTATTGAATCCATCTAGACATTGTTTACTCTCTGTAAAAGATGGTATAATATCAAAAAATTGAATTCTTCTGCCGCATCCTTGCTATCTACTTTTTTCTCTCGACTCCATAGACATTCTACCTCTTCTCAGAAGTCTGAAGCCCAAATAGTCAATTACTAGTAGAGTAAACACAAGCACTTTCTCAAGATTTCTTTATACAATTTATCTCTTGAATTCCCATCAATTTAAGAAACATAGAACAATTTTCAACCATAGTATCAATGCACCGGCCTCAGTATTTCTGCGGCTTCATTATAAAGACTATAATTGCAAGGTTGTTACCAAGTCAAGCATACCAAAGTAGATTTTATCGGAACTCAATAAGTCAGTATCTTGTACAATTTTGCCTACATTTTTCACCCCGTGAAAGAACAAATTGGCATTGAGTTCAATTAAAATTAGTTGTTCCCGCATGAAAGCAGTAAATCATGCAGATAAACACAATGGAAGCAAAAGAATGTTGAATTACCAGAATCAGGTTCGTCAAAGAGCTCAGAACCTTTGAGAACATACTCGTTACCATGAGCAGGAAGGATGAAATCATCTTCACAAAGGTCATGCCATACATACCCATTCTTATAACTCCTGCATCCATAAATCACCACATAGATTTCAGCACAATTGATCACAATTCGAACTTAAAGAATCAAATATAAAATCGATTTTAACCATTTTCACCTCTTGCAAGACCAAGAATACATTGAAGCCATGCTTCTGCCTCTCAAAACATTAAGCCTTTCCATCACATCTACAGAACGAACAGAAGTTTCTTGAACCAAAAACACTTGCTTAAAAATAATTACATTTCATACAAGCATAGGAGTACATTGTACAGTACCTCTCATGTAGAGGCCATCAGGGGAAGAGAGAGGGACTTCCATAAAATGTGGATGCTCGAGCTCTCGATTCCTGCATAGATAATAAACTACAGGCACTTTACCATTATGCTGCTGTTTCTGTTTATAGTGATACTTGGGCGATTTTTCCGTCCATACTTTTGCTCTTTCTGGGCTAACTTGCCTGTACTTCTTCATTCTTCCCTCCATTTTTCGCCTATCTGAATCCTCTCAATTATTAGTGATTTTCTCGAAAACCCATTAATAAATTTGGATTCTACTTTACAAATAACTCGTGATTTAAAAAAAAGAAAAAAAGAAAAAAAAAAAGAAATAGAAAATAGACATCCTGGTTTCTCATCAGGACTCAAATTTGAAATGGATTTTTATAGTCTATTCTAATATTTGAGATGTAGTAGATCTGGATATGAGCTGAAAAAGGTTAGAATCTCCAACATACCAAATACAAAGATAAAAAGAAATCATTGAAGGTCAGTAATATTGCATACATTCACTTATTTATACATAACAAATATAATGCTTGAAAAACTTGCACTGCTATCAAATAGTAAAATAAAGAACAGATTAAAAGCTACCTAGAAAATGCAAAAAATGATCAAATGCAAGTAAAACCACCCAGCTGCAGATTAACAAAATCCAGTAGACTACCTCACGATACTACAGGGGGCGGTGGAGCCCTCAAGGTTGGGTTCAACGTTTAACGAAATCCAGTGGACTGCTTCGTTCTGCATTCGCGTGTGTTTCCAAAAATCAAAAAGGAAAAAGGCGAACCTGGGAGTCAAATTAAAAATAAAGACGCCCGCATTTAATGCATCAGTGTGTGTCTCTATGCTATTCTGATGGCTTCGTGGGGACTGATCAACGAAGTGACAGTCTGACAGAGCAGAGTATATAGATAGAGAAAGTAGAGAGAGATAAAAGGGACTGGACGGGCTGGCGTAAGAGAGAAGAAACGAACTGGGCTAGTTTAAAAAAATAAAGGTTGAACCCCAACATTGAAGGTCCCCGCTCTGCCTCTAAAGTATCGTGAGAGAGGTAAATTACTGGATGTGCCCCAACAAGTCAGGAACAAGAGCTTACCCGTACACTGGTACCCACAAACAGTCCAATTTCATATCTCATGAATCGAATTCTCACACTACGACTATCAGCAAAGCTGAGATTACCTCACCTCCGTCCTTTGCACAGCTAGATTATGCCCCTAGGGGCCGAATTGGGCTAATTTGTAATTATGAAAGTTGATTTTTTGACAAAAGTGGATTCCACCAATGACCGTTGACTTAAGTAAGTAACGATAAAAAAATTTAGGGTCTGTTCTCTTCGTGTTACAGTTTTGTAGTTTTGAGTTTTGAGTTCATTTTGAATTTTGTGTTTTGAGTGCCTGTTTTGAAATTATTGAAAACATATTCTCTTTGTCATTCTGAAAAATTGTTTTTCAAAACATAAAATTAAAAAACGCGTTTACTTTGAAATTTTGAGAATTTTTTTATAATATTTTATTTAAGAAATATGATTATTCAATAAAATTTAATAGTTTGATGTAAATGTAGTATTAAATAATATATAAATTTTGTAGTTGATGAATCTTGAAATATTTTTTGGCAACACAGTTCACTAGATACTATTATAAGTTTACGTGCAATGGCAAGCAGACACTAAACAAAATATAAAGTACATCTAAACTATCATGTACGACGTCTTTAGTAGTCATTCCATATTTGTGTAGTAATTTGATCCCTGACTTGTCTCATTTGAGCTGTTTGACTAGCATCAAAATGTATTACTTCTTGATTTTGACCTGACTTCGGCATGTCTTGTGATAAGTGTGTTTTTATACACTTATTCGGTTCACAAAATATGACTAATTATTGATAAAATTGGTTGATTATGACTTAATTTTATGCAATTTCATGTTATAGGGTAATATTGATGGATATGATGGAATTCATGAGAAAAGATTCTTGGAGCTGTACAAAAAGAGCAAAATGAAAGAAAATAAAAGTTCAGGGACTAAAGTGAAATTATCCAAAAGATGGTCCGAAGGACAAATCAAGGAAGTGAATGAGCTAAGTACCAATTTGGTGATATTATGAGATGATGAAAATAAAAGAAACAAGCGAAAACGGACTAAAGTTGAAGAAACTGAAAGTTCGGGGACCAAGTTACAAATAATTCATAGATGAGACAGGCAATGGAATGAAAATTCAAGAGTGTTAGAGGTCAATCGGATGAGAAAAGGAGTCAAAGTTTACGTGCAATGGCAAGCAGACACTAAACAAAATATAAAGTACATCTAAACTATCATGTACGACGTCTTTAGTAGTCATTCCATATTTGTGTAGTAATTTGATCCCTGACTTGTCTCATTTGAGCTGTTTGACTAGCATCAAAATGTATTACTTCTTGATTTTGACCTGACTTCGGCATGTCTTGTGATAAGTGTGTTTTTATACACTTATTCGGTTCACAAAATATGACTAATTATTGATAAAATTGGTTGATTATGACTTAATTTTATGCAATTTCATGTTATAGGGTAATATTGATGGATATGATGGAATTCATGAGAAAAGATTCTTGGAGCTGTACAAAAAGAGCAAAATGAAAGAAAATAAAAGTTCAGGGACTAAAGGGAAATTATCCAAAAGATGGTCCGAAGGACAAATCAAGGAAGTGAATGAGCTAAGTACCAATTTGGTGATATTATGAGATGATGAAAATAAAAGAAACAAGCGAAAACGGACTAAAGTTGAAGAAACTGAAAGTTCGGGGACCAAGTTACAAATAATTCATAGATGAGACAGGCAATGGAATGAAAATTCAAGAGTGTTAGAGGTCAATCGGATGAGAAAAGGAGTCAAAGAGGTGAAATATGGTCGAAGTATTATCAAGTATTAACTTTCAAGCGAAAAAACTATGCTCGTGATTTTTAGTCTCTACTTGAGATTCATTTTTGGCATAGTAAACATTAGAATTTGAGAAAGCCTATTTCTATCAAAATTGTAGATCTTTGAGTTTTCTTCCCAATGCACTTTGAATCACTTCAATCGAAGATCAAGAGAGAAAGTTATGACCAAAATACTAAAATCTATCCGGTAAAAAGAATGACATAACCATGCGGTCGCATGGTAGAAACTCCTATGTGGTCGCGAATACCAACACATGGGAATTAAAATGCCAATTTTCAAAAGCCTATGTGGTCACATAGGTATATCCTGGGGGTCGATTCTGCAGTTTCTTATTCGCGATAAAATTCTTATGGAAACATAATCTATACGCGATATAAATACCCAAATCTGTCAGAAACAAGATGAGAGCGCATTGGGAGGCAAGAAACCACATATTGGAGAGGATTTTGAGCGCTAGTGACGAAGAATTGCATAAGGATTTTCAAGATTTATCAAGTATTCATAATTCGGTGATGTTCTTTCTTCAAGATCTGATGTATTCTTATAATTTATCAATGCTAGGCTAGATTTTCATGTACTAGGAGATCGATGTACCATTTGATTTGATCTTTAATTTTCTAGTTTTACAATTTGACATTAAAGACACTTTTTGATTGTTTTGAATGATTTATATGCAATTTTTGTTCCCGCAATTAAGGGCCTGTAATTGTGTGAGTTAGGTGGCTTATTCTTGCATTTGAGAGAATCGAAATAGGTTCGACATAATAAAAATCATCGTAGAGTCCAATAGGGGATAGAAATATGCCGCTATGCCCTACGCGAATTTTTAAGTGTTCACAAGATCGCATGCATTTTTATATATGCACTTGTCATAAAAATATAGGCCGGTGGTATGTAAAAATAGGTTCGATACATCTTCAGAGAGAGTATTGGATAGATTAGGAGCACTGATTCGTCAATAATTTAAGTGATTTGTCACATTGTGAAATTAGGGTTAAGGTGATAATTGCATGGAAAATCGTGATCCTAGTGTTTTTAATTTCCATTGAATACAACCAATTCATACTCTTTGCATTTTAATTCATTAAAAATATTGTTTTGCATATTTGAATTCATTCCAATCTTCAATTTTGCATAATTAGGGATTTCATAAAATTATGGTTTATTTAGGTAGATATTCATATTGAGTAATTTCGTTTCGGTTAAGGCTATACTAGGTAAAATTGAACTACTCAATCTCTGTGGACGATATTCGAACTCTAAAAATCTACTTTATTACTTGTTAACGAACCATACACTTGCGGTGATCTTAACTGAAGGAAAATATTTCTTGAACATCTTGAAACACCATATTCTTCTCTGAATACTCTATGAACAACTTATCTAAAACGTGTTCCTGACATATAAAGTTGTTTATTGTGCAACATGTAGTAGGGATTTGTTTTTGCCTACTAAGTGGATAATTGTTAATCAACTTCAAAATAGAAAATATTGCTTTTAAAACTCCAATACAACGTTCAATAATGTTACGGCATAAGGAGTGTCTATAATTGAACAATTCTTCCTTCCCACGTAGTTTTCCCCGTCCAACATAGTCACGTAAATGATATCTTTGACCTCGATAAGGGGCAAGAAATCCTGACATGTTTGGATATCCAGAATCAATAAGGTAAAATTGATCTTAAAAAAAAGTTTATATAGTGTGACACTATAAATATATTTGCAATAATTATTTGAAGAATACGAATATACCTTCTCGTGGTATTGGAAAGTTGTTCAAGCTTCTTGTGACTGCATCAACGAATACTTGTGAATTATTAGCAGTACCTTCCCAACCACAATACACAAATGTGAATTTCATATCAAAATCACATGTCAACATCACATTTTGTGTTACATTAGTTTTCTTTCCTTGAAAAGATGTTTATCTCGATGCAGGAGCCCAAACTGCAACATGTATTCCATCTATTGCGCCTATACAATCCTTATAGAAAGGATATTTGCGCAAAATTCCCTCATGCACAATGTCTTGATTTGTGGGACGGGTTATCTCAGTGCCAAATGAGATAACAACCCTAGCAACTCGTTTAAACCATTTGTGTATCTTGTTGTCGAAATGCTGGAACCTATCGCAAATAACATTGTATCGTGTAGTGTGCCCTACAATCATTAGAAACATAGCCACACCCTCCTCGATGCTCACTTTTTTCCCATCTTTCAGAAACCCTTTCTCTTTCAAAATATAACAAAAATTCATGAAAACATGTTTCTGCATAGGAAATTACAATAGCATATGTCCAAATGTCCATTCAAAATTTCTATGATGTATATTTTTCCTGTAAGCAATGATGTTCTACAAGGTGTCCTGCCAATGATACTTCCTTTGTTGGCAACAAAGTAATTAAGCACCATTAACTCTCCAAAATTTGCTTCAAAATTATCCATATATAACAACTCATCATCACTCAAATCTTCATAAATGGACTCATCGACATGCACATTATCATCCACATTTGATTTACTAGCCATATGGTGAACAAAATCATTATCATAAGTCATATTAACCACCATTAGTTCAAATAAAACAAGCAATCAAGCATTTAGAAAGTAATGACAAATTAACATCAGTTCTCCAACAACAAAATCACAATGTTTGTAAATGAAAACAGTACAACATCACCACAAAATGAAAAAAAAAAGTACTTCAAGCCTCTAGTTTAACATGATACTTCAACAAAACAACAATCACATATTAAAACAATAGTCAAATCAAAGTGGTTCCAAGATAGGTCCTCTACTTGCTTTTGACATCTTCACAAACGACACCCTGAAATCGGGATCCTTGAAAGCTTTTATTGCTTTCATGTAAATCTCATTGGACACCCCTTCCTTATTGTTTAAGATGTCCAAGCAAGTAATATTTGAATAAGGATTTGGACTAGTAACTTCACTGTCCGATTGATTACTAGCTTTTCCTTGGATCATTGCAAGCTTCTCTTTTAGATAAAGTGTTCTAAGTTTAGTTTCTTCATTCCTCAAACTACTGTAGATGACCACTGTGCCATACAGACCTCCAGTTTATCACTTTTTACCGATCTTAGGTTCTTTACGTCGCCATTCACCCGATGTACCAATTTCGTTACATCGACGAGTATTTGAAACCACATCAACTTCATCATCATTTTTCGCAGTCACATGTACTCCCTATTCAAAAAATCATCTTCTAGCTATCTTTCTTCCTCTAATGTGTTTGGAAGCTGGGTGGAGGCACTGCCTAATCCTTCAGTAGATGTAGTCCCGCTGAATATCTCCCCAAGAGTGTGGTAGTGCTTACATCCTTCCCTCTTGAACAACTTGTAATCCAACTTATTAATCTAACATTGAAAAAAGAAGTCACATTGTTAGAGTATTCAACAAAACAATGTAAAATTGATAAGATAAAAAATAAGGACGAACATATTCTTTCATAAGTATATGTACCGTATAAAAATGCTGTCAAACTTCCTCTGCAGCATTAACTTTGTTGGTATTTGGATCCCATGTAACACCTGTATGTCCTAAAAGTTCAGAGAACATGCGGTGAATTTTATGCAAGCGGTTCCACTTTCCCTTTAATCTATCTATGCCGTAATCCATTTTTGTTGAAGCTATCACGATTTTATTGATCCTGCCCTATTCGTCTTTCATGAATGTAGAACATTGCAATGCATTTGATTTCACTTTCTCATAAAGAATTTCAATAAAAGCGTGTTCATTCTCGTTCGACCATAACATTGGTTCATTATTCTGAACTCTGTGATCACCCATGTTGAAGCTATATTCATATACATCAAATTATCATCAAATATATAAGACCTTCCGTAAGCGATTTGAGGACATATTAATGTATTTAATTATAGTCACATACCACCAAATGCTCAAAAGCATACCTAACACATGTACCCATAATTATAAGGATCAACAAATTGCCAAACATCATTTTAACTTACAAATTCAAGAATCTTTGCAATGAAGCGGCATAATTGAAATCATAGTTTGAAGAATCTCGCAATATAGAAGCATAAAGAAAATCAACAGTTAAATGTTGACATCTAAATTATCTCAATCTAGTTTCTGTTGGTTATTTTATAGGTTCAAATCAAATGTATGGGATTGCCAGTTATTCCTCGATTGACATTAAGCGTCAGCTATTACCAGCAGATACCAAGTTGGCAAAGTAATCAGAAGTATGGTTTTAGCTAACTTACCAAAACACTTTACATTGATTTGAATTTATAGGATTACAATGTAACAGAATAACCAAAGCAAGAGAAAATGTACGAGCTAACTTGGCTCACAGCTGTACATGTTAGTCTACTAAATCAATTACAAAGATTATAATTAAAATAATTCAAGTGGTTAAGTAACATTAGAAGGAGATAATATAGCAGCAAAATATGGAGAGAAATCTAAGGTTTGGGATCATCTTTACTAGACATCTTAACACATAATTTATTAGGATAAACAATACATCCGCTAAAATTCTAGAAAGGTTTAAAATTTCTCTATTTGTCTTTGTTTCTTGATTAATTGAATGGACACTAACAGACACAAATATGTACACATAGAAAAAGAATCTTCCCTTAAATTCTCGAGAAACCCCCAATTTGTCACCACGAGGGATCAAGGATAAATACATATCCGAAAACACATACATATTGAAAATAAAATTCGCTGCAGAATTGAAAAGAAGCACTCCTACGACAGACACAAACAAATTCAACCAGTCTCATTAAAATTAGTTGCCAAAAAAAAATCA